GTTTCAGAAAATGGAAGCCTTTTGCTTGGACAAGATGGCCTTGCATGAATATGCTATACAGGGGGAATGTATTTGGCCTCCATGCAATGTCCAAGGTCAACATAAACAAGAGCAGATGTCGTGCTGCCTATAGGTTGTTTGTACTATAGCGTCGCTGCAGATTGGGTAAAAAGGACAGAAAAGTTGTACCCAATTTCTGTACATTAAGAATAAGGGACAAATTCCCAGCAATTGATGGCTATGCTGGTTACAAACACGGAACAATGTTTTAGTGGAACTACAAAGTGTTTGTTACATCAAGACATTGAGGAACAATAGCTTCTATATAATAAGCTTTCAGTATAGGTATAATTTAATAGGGTATAAAAGAGGTATATCTTCCACTTAGCATAACTTGTATCGAAAAATGTCTATCTTTGATATTGGGTTTAACTTCTACAATACATAAGATTTTCCTGTAGACTATTAACTATTTTCTACAAACAAGAAAGTCATTGGCAAATCAAAGATAAAACACCTGTTTTACCCCCTTCGGATTGTGTAGGGTTATTACCCAAAACGTACTCCGTTTTGGTCAATCATGCTATTAATGTAACATTATCTGACTATGCTGGCCCATCTAACACTAATAGGGACATCAGACTCTGTCCGTAAGTCAGATATAGAGAACATTATAATGGACGCTATTGCCAAATACCAGTCCTTGGGAAAGGATCCAAATGAAACTCAGGCATCTACAGCTATGCCATCCACCTCTCAACTAGTGTAGACATTAATATGGTGGGTAACACATTGTCTTTAATAAATATACTTGAAACAGAGTTGGACCACAATACTTATGACAAAATTGACCTTATTCTTGATACACATGACAATAAAATTAGAACCAAAAATATGGAATGGCAATTTTGTCGACTTTGTTATTTTGATCAAGAATGCCATTTTGTAGCGCAGCAATAGGTTCTGGTATAACCCCACTGTCCACTGTCTGGGGAAGTATGTACATTTCTCAACTTTTTGCAAGAAAAAAAAATAGGTTCTGGATTCTATCTCTTGTTCAGGCAATACTTAATTTGCTTGTTTCTATAAATTGCTTCAGGTTTTTTGACTGAGTGGTCCACAATTCATACCTGTGGTGTGTACTTGTATGACTGTATGAGTGTAGATAAATGACCCTAATGGTTCATTAGGATATTTGTGTGGTGATGCAATATTTAACCTTTTAAACTTCTAACATCAGTAACCAATCAGAATCATCCGGGCTCAAGGGTTTCTGTTTCACAAAGTAGAAAGTCTCATTCATAGATATTTCACCTTACAGCCTAGAGATCAATACATTGAAGAAACAGATTTTTAACTGATTTTCATAGTCACCATAACTTTATATTTATATTATAGTACAAATCTTTTGTAGTATTTTTATTTAAAGCACAAGCATACATTTCATAAAATGAAAAATTGACTCAAACACAGGTCATCAAGCCGAACAATTTGATATTTTGTACTTAGGAAATCACTTTTTCAGCAAACTTGGCAAGTGTACATTACAACACATGTAACCCATTAGTATTTAGCTGGGATTATTATGGCACCGGTAATGACTCTCATATTTGGACAATCATTCATATAATGGCTGGGGAACTTCACTGAGAAAAGCTCACCTAACTTCAAACTAAACGCACCAGAATTTAAAATCGAGTGTCAAGGTGTACAGGCAGGGTTTTTTCTAACATCATCATCTCAAAACAAGAAAAAACACTTCCATATTTGTATAAACAAATATCAACACTTACACCAGAGCTGATTTACCTCCAGATGGGAGAAAGTAGTAAGGAAACGAGCATCAGCCTAATATATACTGATAGGTGGTGCTGTCAGACCCGAGGTAGCAGAAATGACGTAAAATGACGTAAAACTTGACCTTGGGCATGGATTAGGGTGACTAATGGGGGATTATGACTTCACTTCTGCTACCACCTTAGAACCCATTACATATTAAGTAAACACGGTGTGGCATAATTTATTTTTCACCCGTTTTTGCACTTTTAATTCATAATAACTTTATAACATATCTTGAATCTTTTGGGAGATATTGTATTTGAGATTGTAATGAATAGATTGGTAGGGCAATAATTTTATTGTACATGTTGCTTGTAATTTTGTCACCCCTGTTGATCTGATTCTGCCTTTAAGCTTGCCTATAAAATCGGTCAATGGTCAGTTCCATATAATTCACTTGTCTAGCTTGGACGTTTGGATCATGCATGTACATTTATAAGGATCTGTATACATCTAATATACAATACATTGGATATACTTGTGAGTATTTTAACTTTACCTATTGAAAATTATATTTACTGATTTCTTGAAAAAATCACATTTCTTTATCATGAAAGAAAAACTGCCAACCGGTTTTGTACAATTTATTGTTTTATAGCAATGGGTAAAGCAAAGACATTCGTATGTTCCATTTGTGGCAAGACATTTGCAAATGTGAGCTCTCGAAATAGGCACAGGAGAGCACAACACACAGACAAAACATACTCCTGTCCCACATGGATTTGTTTGGATGAGTTTGATTACCCTTATTCTCGGGACAGGCATTCTAAGAAATGCAGCAAACAGAGGTGAGATGTGAATGGCTACATGATTTTAAATTCGATATTGTTGATTGTCAGGCCTTTAATTTTAATGGGTACGCTTAAATAAACAATCAATATCGGTACAATGTTGAAAGCGAATGCGGCAATCACTGTAGAAAATTTACTGGAACCAAATAATGATTTGCAAAAGAACTAGTAGAGAGGTTAAACTACACGTTTTAAGAGAACTGTATATGAACATGTACATTTGCCGATTTGGGACAAATGTATGAGAAAATAGGAGAAATTAGGTCCCCTGAGAATTCAATTGAGAGGGGACATAGTAATTAATCCTTGGGGGTCATAGTGTGGAACATCAACATACATCTTCTCTTAAAATGTGAAGCCTTCCTACTACATGTACATCTACGACACATTACAGCAATAAAGAAAACAGCCCAAACAATCCCCATAAATCCCAACCTAACAAGAGAAAAAAACAGACAGCGTCTCCTGATCTACTACAGAATAACAGAAAAATCAAAATATTGGAAGATGGGAGAATATGGTAAATAGCAATATTTTTTCAAAATCATATCTATTTATTTACTATCGATAATTTAAGATTGATTTTGTATATGTTTTTCTGATAATACATGACTACTTACAGGTCAAATATAGACGTACAATAGAATAGATACGATGAACATGGCCGTCCTTCTAAAAACGAACACAATTGTATGGAGGGCAGGTATGTTTGACCAAATGTTTAAATAAATTGATCTGTCGTTAAAATCAGATCGAGGGTTTGATAAAGTGCACTTTTAAACAAAAAATGTATTTGCGCATTATTGCGTCAACATAAATTCGTGTTTAAGCATTTTCGTCGCTTAGAGATGCGTTTTTTGGAGACCAGAGATTGGTCAATGAAATGGGTTTGTTGATTTTGCCCCACACTTGGGCATGATATAAAATACAGAATCGCGTTTTATCTTTCCACTTTTTCAAGAGCAAACTTGAAGAATTTAAATTCATTTAGCGATTGCTACTCAAATAAAATAAAGCAAAACAGAAATGGCTCAGAACAAACAAAATGTGATAGTTCGCTACAATGTTGGGGAGAGCTATTTTGTAGCTGCTGTTCAGCAGAAGAAAAGCTTCTATATGTGGCTCGAAAATGAAGAGGCAACGTTCAGCATTTCTGAAATGTGCCTCAGAAATTTGTGCGTTAAGGAGGAGGCCATCCGAGAGGAGGTAGAAAAGGCCAGCTTTCTACCCGTTGAAGTCGAAATTGGCACTGGCATTCGGCTCTATAGAACTAAGGGAATTGTGTGGTTGCAGCGATTTAGCGACAAGAGTGCCCTCAAAAGGTTTCCTCGAGGTGTTAGATGCTTCAGGGGCGTTGAAAATTGCGATTGAGCAATGCAGGCAGACGCAGACGGCAAAACAAAAGGCGGAGACTCTTTTGAATTCATCTTCGGAGGAAGAGAAGGCCGTAAAACGCTGCAAGACTAAATCAAGAAGAGAGCAAGGCGATGCTCCAGCATGTAAAATCGATCTAAAAAATATTTTGCCTTTTAATAAATTATTTTTTATCACGTGAAAATATCAGGACAAAATCGAGAAAAACATAAATTAAAGTAGAAAACGTGTTAACTAAATAGCTTATTCAACGATGACCATAATTGATTATTTTACATTCTGAATAATTTGTCTAAATAATTTGTGTAAATAATTTAATTGCATATTTAAATGTGCGAAACAATGTCAGACTACGTAGAAGCTATTTGATTCAAATACTGAATTTATTACAATATCTTGAGTTTGTATTCTTTTATTTTCAGAAATCTATGCCTAGAAAAAAACTAGACAGATGGGGCTCTGAAGAGTCACTGACCGATTCCCAACTGCAAGAGGTAAGCAATATGTTCAATGATTACTAATTACTAATTAAAGAAAATATTATGTGTATTGCAGTGATAAATATGTTTTCAAATAAAACAAAAATATCTCCTTTTCACTTGTAATATGGCATCAATTGATAATCAAAAGAGAAAGGATTAGTATCAATATGGTGAACAGCTGTTTTCTTAAAACCAATTATTGAAAACATTCTGTAAAAACACGGTCCTTTAACTAATGCTCGCTGATTGACAACAATTTAATTTTTTTAATTATTATTAACCATAATTATAATTTTAAACCACTAATTTTAAACCACCAATTTACACTGCAAATAAAAAAGTAACTGTTTTCTTACTTTTGGATTTTTTAGGTGTTTAACATTAGCGGAATCGAGATGTTTCCTCCATCTCGACCTAACGCCGCTAATCAGCAGCCGAGCAAGTCAACAGGGGAGGATTGGTCTCAACACCCGTCAGCTAAGCCGCCCGCTAATGCTGTTAGCGCTGTGAATAATCAGCGGCTGAGCAAGTCGTCAGGAGGGGCGTGGTCCCAAAACCTGTCGGCTAAGCCGTCCGTGAATAATCAACAGCCGAGCAAGTCGTCAGGAGGGGCGTGGTCCCAAAACCCGTTGTCTAAGCCGTCCTCTAACGCCGTGAATAATCAGCAGCCGAGCAAGTCGTCAGGAGGGGCGTGGTCCCAATACCCGTCGGCTAAGCTGTCCGCTAATGCCGTTAGCGCCGTGAATAATCAGCAGCCGAGCAAGTCGTCAGGAGGGGCGTGGTCCCAAAACCTGTCGGCTAAGCCATCCGCTAACGCCGTTAGCGCCATGAATAATCAGCAGCCGAGCAAGTCGTCAGGAGGGGCGTGGTCCCAAAACCTGTCGGCTAAGCCGTCCGCTAACGCCGTTAGCGCCGTGAATAATCAGCAGCCGAGCAAGTCGTCAGGAGGGGCGTGGTCCCAAAACCCGTCGGCTAAGCCGTCCGCCAACGCCGCTAACGTCACTAGACAACAGTCACCGAGTGCCACCACGTCACGTGACCGTGAAGACATCAAGCCATGTGTCAAACAAGGCATTAACATGACAAAATGTCACCACCTAGTTGCTCACAATATTATGAGTTCAAACTTAAGTCAGATTTGAATTTCTGAGAACTTGTAAAGTCAAATTTGAACTTCTGAAAAGATGTAGATGATTTTGAAAAAAAAAATTGGTCAATTTGAAGCAAGTTGAAAACAGACCTTTTTGACCTTTTTTGACCTTGAGAAGGTCATTAAAGGTCAAATGTCAAATCTAAAGTCAGATTTGAATTTCTGAGAACATGTAGATGATTTTGAAAAAAAAAATTAGTCAATTTGAAGCAAGTTGAAAAAAGACCTTTTTGACCTTTTTTGACCTTGAGAAGGTCATTGAAGGTCAAATGTCAAATCTAAAGTCAAATCTAAAGTCATATTTGAATTTTTGAGAACATGTAGATGATTTTGAAAAAAAATTTAGTCAATTTGAAGCAAGATGAAAAAATACCTTTTTGACCTTTTTTGACATTGAGAAGGTCATTGAAGGTCAAATGTCAAATCTAAAGTCAGATTTGAATTTCTGAGAACATGTAGATGATTTAAAAAAAAAATTTAGTCAATTTGAAGCAAGTTGAAAAAAGATCTTTTTGACCTTTTTTGACATTGAGGTCATTGAAGGTCAAATGTCAAATCTATAGTCAAATCTAAAGTCAGATTTGAATTTCTGAGAACACGTAGATGATTTTGAAAATTTTTTTTAGTCAATTTGAAGCAAGTTGAAAACAGACCTTTTTTACCTTTTTTGACCTTGAGAAGGTCATTTAAGGTCAAATGTCAAATCTAAAGTCAGATTTGAATTTCTGAGAACATGTAGCTGATTTTGAAAAAAGAAATTAGTCAATTTGAAGCAAGTTGAAAAAAGACCTTTTTGACCTTTTTTTACCTTGAGAAGGTCATTGAAGGTCAAATGTCAAATCTAAAGTCATATTTGAATTTCTGAGAACATGGAGATAATTTTGAAAAAAAATTTAGTCAATTTGAAGCAAGATGAAAAAATACCTTTTTGACCTTTTTTGACATTGAGAAGGTCATTGAAGGTCAAATGTCAAATCTTAAGTCAGATTTGAATTTCTGAGAACATGCAGATGATTTTGAAAAAAAAATTTTGTCAATTTGAAGCAAGTTGAAAAAAGACCTTTTTGACTTTGAGAAGGTCATTGAAGGTCAAATGTCAAATCTTAAGTCAAATCTAAAGTCAGATTTGAATTTCTGAGAACACGTAGATGATTTTGAAATTTTTTTTTAGTCAATTTGAAGCAAGTTGAAAACAGACCTTTTTGACCTTTTTTGACCTTGAGAAGGTCATTGAAGGTCAAATGTCAAATCTTAAGTCAAATCTCAAGTCAGATTTGAATTTCTGAGAACACGTAGATGATTTTGAAAAAAAAATTTAGTCAATTTGAAGCAAGTTGAAAACAGACCTTTTTGACCTTTTTTGACCTTGAGAAGGTCATTGAAGGTCAAATGTCAAATCTAAAGTCAGATTTGAATTTCTGAGAACATGTAGGTGATTTTGAAAAAAAAATTTAGTCAATTTGAAGCAAGTTGAAAAAAGACCTTTTTGACCTTTTTTGACTTTGAGAAGGTCATTGAAGGTCAAATGTCAAATCTTAAGTCAAATCTAAAGTCAGATTTGAATTTCTGAGAACACGTAGATGATTTTGAAAAAATTTTTTAGTCAATTTGAAGCAAGTTTAAAACAGACCTTTTTGACCTTTTTTGACCTTGAGAAGGTCATCGAAGGTCAAATGTCAAATCTTAAGTCAGATTTGAATTTCTGAGATAATGTAGATGATTTTGAAAAAAAAATTTAGTCAATTTGATGCAAGTTGAAAACAGACCTTTTTGACCTTTTTTGACCTTGAGAAGGTCATTGAAGGTCAAATGTCAAATCTAAAGTCAGATTTGAAGGTCAAATGTCAAATCTAAAGTCAGTTTTGAATTTCTGAGAACATGTAGATGATTTTGAAAAAAAATTTAGTCAATGTGAAGCAAGTTGAAAAAAGACCTTTTTGACCTTGAGAAGGTCATTGAAGGTCAAATGTCAAATCTAAAGTCAGATTTGAACTTCTGAGAACATGTAGATGATTTAGAAAAAAATTGAAGTCAGTCTAAACAGTATTTGTTAAGTTATAGGAAGTTGTAAGAAATTGTTACAGACGCCAACCGCCAGACGCCAACCGCCGGACGCCAACCACCAACCGCCGGATGCCAACCGCCGTCGCAAAAAAACGGAGACCATAACAATATGTCACCACTTTTGGTGGTGACATAATAAAAAAGTAACTGTTTTCTTACTTTTGGATTTTTTAGGTGTTTAACATTAGCGGAATCGAGATGTTTCCTCCATCTCGACATTGTTTGTCATGAATAATCAGCAGCCGAGCAAGTCGTCAGGAGGGGCGTGGTCCCAAAACCTGTCGGCTAAGCCGTCCGCTTACGCCGTTAGCGCCGTGAATAATCAGCAGCCGAGCAAGTCGTCAGGAGGGGCGTGGACATGACAAACAATGACATAAAAATACCTTGTCTATTTTGGTATGGGTTTCAGGATTTTACATCAGTGCGAATTGGTTTTAATAGTTAGCTGCTTATTAAGAGGAAACATGAATATTGATATGACAAAAAATCAATTAGTTTTCAGATATTTAACTCCCTGTTTTCCCGTTTTAATTCTTTTCCTTTCACTATTGAAAACAATCATATATCTCCAACAAAATAACTAGAATTTTCAATCATTAATTTTTATGCAGGGGTAAAAATGTGGATATATTTGAACGAATCGATGAAATTCTTGGTGAGATGAATTTGGCCGAATTCCTTCCCAATGACTCGGATATGAGTACAGGTACCAATCAGTAAGCTAAAAACTTCCATTAGGATATTTATTATTCATTGGTAATACACATTTCGTGTTGAATTTGACTTCAATAATAAAAAGCAACACTCAATGTGACGCAGAAATCTAATTCAATATTTGGTTTATTTGTGCAGTAAGCAATGGATGTGGATACTCACTCGTCTGTCTGTTTTAGCTTTGGAGAGGCGGAGGTAGATGCTCCAGAAGCTGACGATGATGGATCAGAGGTATCCGAATCTGATCAATCTGAAGCAGATGTGCAAAGAAAGCCTTGGGAACGAGATGACGGGACAGTAGATGAATCACTCCGGGATCTTTATGATCAACATACAGCCGCTATATACAGGGAACATCAACTGGACAGTGATATTTTGCACGAATATAACTTCCATCTTCCAAGTGGATATCTGAGTATGGAAGATATTACTGCTCAGTTAGAATATATATACCAACACGAGAACAGCGCTTTCAAAGTTTATCTCAGCCTAGGAATTGTACTGACTCATAAGGAGACTGGCGAACTAAGGTGTGTATGTATTCTCATCACGCTATTATTGTAGTGGGTTATCTACACATCATATACACTATGAGACTATGAACAAAATGTAATCTACTAAACCATTCAGTTGAAATTTTTTCTGATTTGCCTAGTTAATTTTACTTATTCTTCAGTAAGTGTTTGGAGGTTTTGGAAGTTTTGTTTTCTGATTACTTTGTTATGTAATCTTATGTAACTCTATGTAATTTCTTTTGTTATGTAATCTTATGTAACATTACGTGTAATTGTACAATATACTTTCTTCAGCTCCAAACACTTTTTTGTTGTTTCATTTATTTAATGATGAGATATGCCAGTATCTATTTTTAAATAATGGGAACAGGTGCCTGGCTGCTTGAACCTCTGATAGCCTAATGACCAATAATGACAGATTAACCACAGACCACGTGCTTCAAATTCTGGCAGTCTGTTCTTAGTGGTAAGCAGGTCAGTCTCAGAGGTTCTGGCAAGCAAAGCAAATGTTAGCGAAGTTTCGTGATGCTTTAAGCAATCTGTGCAAAGTTTCCCACCCTCCCATCCCCTTTGCTCTAACTTACATGCATGTGAGGGTCGTTTACTTTAGTTTAATTAGGGTAGGTTTAGCGTAGATTAACAGTAGGTGAACCGTAGTGTTGGGAAGTATCCCTTTGTATGGAAGTTTTGTTTTCTGATTACTTTGTTATGTAATCTTATGTAACTCTATGCAATTTCTTTTGTTATGTAATCTTATGTAACATTATGTGTAATTATACAATATACTTTCTACAGCTCCAAACACTTTTTTGTTGTTTCATTTATTTAATTGTATTTCCTTATTTTTGTAACTATTTGTCACTTTTAATAGGGACTAGGAATGATGTTGATCAAGTCATAGATTGTCTAAAGCTAATGGATCTACACACTCAAGTCTGGCAGCATAGAGATGATACCAAGTCCCTACTGTATCGTATTACAAACACGCGTTGGGTGGTGAACAAGGTTGATGTTCCTCTCGGCTCCCCAATCATCCTACCCCCATACATTTAGAAAAAAAGTCCATCGTTAGCCTAACATACGATCATAAAAACCACAGGACATACGAAGGCAGCATGTGTGCCTTTAGGTGTCTGGCCTTGCACAAACTTCTCGGAACGAGAAAATGGACGTGGAAATGGGTACTGAGAAAACTGTGTCAGTTGTCAGTCTCTAGTAGAAGAATGGCGGGTCCACATAGACAAATCTGGAGTTGTATCAGTCCAAACATCTGATGTTTGAATGTTTGAGGCATTTTTTAAGTGAATATCAACATTTATGAGTTAGATGTTGAAGGAAATGCCAGTATGTTTGATAAGTCCGTTGTTCGCCAACCTGACACTATGTACCTGAACCACTATGAAGGTCATCTCAGTTACAACAAACACGCTAGTGCGTTTCAATGCAGAAACTGTGGTAACTTTTTCAAAAGTTGGATCATCTGCAGACACGAGCAAAAATGTGACCAAGCAACAAATTTAAAATTTCGCGGAGGATTTAACAACCCACCCAAGTCCCTACACGAAAATCTAATCTTTTTCAGATTAATTGATGCCAGGGAGCCAAGAAAATTTTATAAATTCGTGACGGCTTATGACTTAGAATCCATTTTGCGAAAAGTACAAATCAAATCTAGTACAGGCAAACTTGTTTGGACTGAGCAGCATCAAGCAATTTCAGTTAGTTTGTGCTCTAATGTGCCAGATTTTGAAACACCGATTTGCTTTGTGGATCCCAACTTAGACTATCTGCTTGAAAAGATGTTTGAACATTTGAAATGTATTCAACAAAGAGCATCTGATGAAATGCAAAATACAGTTCCATTATTGATAACATCAATACAAAGATCAAGGAACTGGAATCCAAGATGCCGCCATCAAGCAAACAGTCTAAGAAAAGAACCAGGTCAAAATAGAAGTCTATACTTGATAATGGTCATGCTGAGACTGATGATGATATCTTTGATGATTCCAATGATTATGAAAAAGAGGACGATGATGTTGGTATTGATGGACTTGCCAATGAAACTGATGAAGATGAGCCAGTCTCTGAAGAAATGCTTAAGGCTTTGAAAAAGCCAAATACAGCCAGAGAATTCTTTAAAAATATTGAGAAAATAGGCGATTTTGACTCGATAGAATGTGAAAGAAACAGTGAAGATGGTTTCTAAGTAGTTGATTACTTCGACAATGAAACATCACCAGACAAGGAGGATGATATTACATCTCTGTCAAGTCCAGAAGGCTGCATTGCTTCTGATGCTGAAGAAGAAGAGGATCCCAAGGACAGTGAGCCCTCCCCTCAAAATAGCCAACCAGATTTAACTCAAAATAACTGGAATAAAGAGACAACTATTGAAATGTTGCACCCTGTATTATGACATATCAAATATTATAAAATTTAAAACAATATTATTTATATTCTTCCTTCAACCACCATATAACTTTGAACATGTACTTCACTATTTCACCATTGAAGTTCAGCGAATAACAATATTGACTTACTCCCAGCACCAAACGTATTAATCTGTTGAATAAGCAGTCGATATACTCAAAAGCGACCTGGTTGAATGCCCAAAATCTCGCACATGCGCCATCGAGGTAGGGAGAGGTTATAGAACATTTCTTGAAGGCCAGACTCAAACAAGGGAGAGGTTATGGAAAATTTCCTGAAGGCTCGCACAGAAGAGGCCAGTGCGGGTGAGTCCTATCATTTGGCACTACCAAATATTATTCCATTAACAGGGGCAGGAATTCCGATAACATCCAGAATTAATGAAAAAATCAAAAAAAAAATTGTCTCAAACGCCTATGTTGATTTCAACCAACTCCTAACAGCCACTCAAGATTTAAGACCAAAACTAGTTAACCCCCTAAGTCAAGTTATAAGCGATCTTGTTAACCCCCCAAAGGTAAAAAACCTGATATACAACATAAACAATTGGACAACTGCTTTTCACATTTACACATCAATCTATTGCCAAGCACACAAAAATGAGGTCACCAAGCTTTTAAAATATGGTGAAGATATTAGAGGAATGGCCCGATATGAAAATTTTCAAACAGCTAAGCTCTATGATGAAAAATTTAGACTCAACATGAAGCAAATGAACTTTCAATGGACACAGGGCTCCTTAGAGGAAGGGATTCTGGGTCAGACTTCCAGCATTATTATGTGAATTAAGACGGTACATATACGGGATATACCCAAGAAGTATTGCTCACCTTCATTGGTAGTAAACAGAATACAGTACAATAAATAGAATGATACTAAATCTAAATGTAACTGTACACGTTATGATTAAAAAAAAGCAGGGAAAAATTTGGACGAAAAAATTTGGACAAAAAACAATAATGCGCTTACAATCACCTACCTGTTCAAGTTACAATATATAGCCACTTTCTCATAAAAGAGCTATAAATAAATGATTTACTTTTCTTTATAATATAACACAACCATTGTGTAATATACTCACTTACCTGAACATAGAAAATTTGAAGTGATGTACAGCCACTTTTAAATATAAAAATGGCAATAAAACTAGACATACATATACGAAGTTAAATTCAATATGGTCTTTAATAAGCTCAATTTATCTTCTATAATTTGAATCATCTGTTACTTTTCTCTTCCATATTGTATAGAACTAAATAAATTATTGTTAGAGAAACATAGCTTACCTTGAACCTTGTTCTTCTGGGGGGCAATGGCTAGGTGCTGGAAGATTCTTAGCAAAGTGATTAAACCTCTTGGCAAGGATGTGATCTCATCATTGTATAGTTTCATCTTCTTGATCAAAGCTGAAAATTAATGCAAATACATATGAAAACACAATGTGTCTACTGTAGATATAAACATGCCCTGCCCAAGTAAGGTCACGTATACAGACATCTCAGATTTAAGTGTTATGTACAATACTAAAGATTATCCTAAGTTACATTGAAATGGAGAATTTCATATAGAATTAATTGGGTCTAACATTGGGTCCCTATTTCAAAATGTTGATACAGTGTCAAAGTGAATTGCTAATGTTGCCTTGCTTGACATGGCTTTCTTTTAACCAGGTAAACAAGGTGATGCAATATTTCAGTAAAAATGTGATTCATTTTTGTGCATGAAAATTACTAACAACTAACCTGGCAGACAATCATAATCAAACTTTGTGAAGTTTTTGATTGGGTAAAGCCAGTCAGGGAGTTCTGCAAGTTTACTGGTTAGCTCAAGTGAGCTTATGGCACTTAGCCTTGGGTGGAACTTCTCTAACATGACGACATTATCAGAATTGCGCACAACAAGTAGTAGTGTCAAGGCAGCATAACTAGGGCATACTGACCAACGTTTCTTTGACTCCTCCATCCCTGAAATCACAAAATTAAATTATATGATAAAGGTAGGCATACAAATTCCAGCTAAGAAAAGACAAACACTAAATTTATTTATTTCTGAATTTCCTGGAGGCAGCTTTTGGTTCTATGAAGGGGGCAACGCTGGTATTACTGCATCTGGATCTAACATATCATGAATATGTAAGGGTTTCTTACTTAAGATTTTTATTTTGATCATCTTTCAATAGGTCTAGCCATTCATCTTGTAAATACAGGACATACTGTAGGAGATGAACATTTTATTAATACCATTACAGTACTTTATATATTTTTTATTATATATTTGTAATAATTACCTGCAAGCTCCAGAAAAGGCAAAATAGATTCCAGATTTTCTTCAAGTCCCAGAACTTTTACTGCTGCTTCCTTGCCAAGGTGATTGAATGTCATTGTATAGAGACTGTGTAGTATTCCTAATGCATCAGCATCATCCACTGTGTTCAATGGTTGCACTGAAGATTAAAGAGAAAATTCAATCTAGTAAGTCAAGTAAAAAAAAAAAAAATTAAACACCAAATAGTTATTTCTACATGGATTAAACTCAGGAACGGTCAATCGTGGCTTAAAAGTGGTCACACTTAGAAGAATAGCTTGCTTATTATGAATGTATTATTTGATTGTTTTGAAACTACGTTGACCAATACTCAATTGATATAATGAACAAGAGATGATCAAAAAATATCAAGTCTAGGTACCTTTCTTGTGACACTCTTTTAGCTGGTCCACAAACTGTAAAATCTGAAGGTAATGCACCATCTGTAGTCCAAGTTGTTGGGCTGGATTCTCTTCACCCTCTTCCCTGCTGTAGTCCTAAAAAGTAACAATATTGTCGAATATCACTTCCATCCGATCAACAGACAAGGCATTAACATACAAAATGTCCCCACCTGCGATTTGTTACAGATGCCAAACACTGACCGCTGACCACTAAAGACCAGTCACAAAAAGTTGGAGACTGTAACAATATGTCACTAATTGTGGTGGTGGCATAATAAAATCATTGTATTAATCAGAGGCTCTCACAATAATTGTCACAGACGCCAACCACCATCACCAACTGCCGAAAAATATCCACAAAAAAGTTGGAGACTAAAACAATGTCACAACTTCTAGTTTTGATGAAATATGAACACATGTACTTACCGATGTATGGGTAAGTACTCTAACTATTCCATTTGTAACATCTGGCCTGGATGAGAGGAACAACAATCCTGACTGGGTCAGTAAAAGCTGATTTATAATATCTCTGATAGCTGTAAATATGCCTGGGTGACCCGCTGTGGAGGGTGAGGCAAGTAGCAGGAACAGAGACTCCAAGAATTTACTGAAAATCAAAAATAAACAAAATGTTTATTTTGAGATGGTTGTAAAAATTCATTTTCTTTAAAATGAAATCAATGAGTAGCACTTAGCGTGAGTGATGCCTAAAGTTTATTTATTCATTCATATTTTATGATTCTTATTTCATGTTTATACATTATGTACAATACTAATGTCTCCTCTTAGGAAAGAGCATTAAATATATACATATAGGTACTGCTCACTCAAACACAGGATTCAAAGAAGTTGCACTTACTATATAGCATATGGACTACGACACACTCAAACACAGGATTCAAAGAAGTTGCACTTACGTTGAGTATAGCATATGGACTACGACACACTCAAACACAGGATTCAAAGAAGTTGCACTTACATTGAGTATAGCATATGGACTACGACACACTCAAACCCAGGATTCAAAGAAGTTGCACTTACGTTGAGTATAGCATATGGACTACGACACACTCAAACACAGGATTCAAAGAAGTTGCACTTACATTGAGTATAGCATATGGACTACGACACACTCAAACACAGGATTCAAAGAAGTTGCACTTATGTTGAGTATAGAATATGGACTACGACACACACAAACACAGGATTCAAAGAAGTTGCACTTACACTGAGTATAGCATATGGACTACGACACACTCAAACACAGGATTCAAAGAAGTTGCACTTACGTTGAGTATAGCATAAGGACTACGACACACTCAAACTCAGGATTCAAAGAAGTTGCACTTACGTTGAGTATAGCATATGGACTATGACACACTCAAACAGAGGATTCAAAGAAGTTGCACTTATGTTGAGTATAGCATATGGACTACGACACATTTAAACAGAGGTTTCAAAGAAGTTGCACTTACGTTGAGTATAGCATATGGACTATGACACACTCAAACACAGGTTTCAAAGAAGTTGCACTTACGTTGAGTATAGCATATGGTAAAGACCTGGCAGGGGATCAAATGGCTGCTGGCTTACAAGGAACAAAGTCTTTAGGGGAAGAGTCCTCTTTGGTTGGGCCTGAAATATACAGTTCATATACATTTTGTTCTTTGGTTGAACATGAAGTAAACACCTCTAATTTATTTTTCTTCTCTGGATGGGCATGAAATAAATATCTCCAATTTATTCATGCAATGGTTGAGCATAATATAAACTCCTATAATTTATTCTGTTCTTTGGTTGAGCATGAAATCTCCAATTTATTCTTAAGTTATGCCGGAAATGTCAACTATGAAATGTACATCTAATAAAGGAACAGACTCTTCAAGTATCCTAGATTTTGAAACTTGAAATGGATAGAGATGTTTTTGGTTAGGGCTAACATCATCTTTAAATCACATTTAGGCACACCTTTGAAAAATGTTATATATGAAATATAGCTGTAGAACACAAACATAATGAAATAACCAAATTGTTGGAACAATTTCAGAGACTTTCAAAAATGTATATTGGTGTTAAAGATATGATTTGGTATTTTCATCTTAAGTTTATGAACCATAATATGAAATATTCTATACTTACAATGGTGTCCTTTGCATTACACAATGTGTTATAGACATCTTCAAGGTAATTAATGATAGCTTCAGCTTCACTTTCAACAATGGTGGTACCATCAATCTCAGGTTCCTCCATATCAACATCATTCATTTGGTCAGTGTTATCCTTAGTCTCATCATCTGCAAAGTCTTCTTTCTGTTCTGGCCTGTTGTCTTGGATTTTTGTAGTTTCAGCAACCCTGGAAGTATTTATTTAGTTACTAAGGAATTACAGGGGTTGGGGTGTAAATTGTTGGGAGCAGGCTGCAGAAGTAAAGTAATACAATTTTTTTCGAGACTCAATCCCAACTCGTCTTTTTCCCTTCAAGTACCATTTAAAGGGTCAGTATCGATATACTCCAAATCAAAATTACACCAAGAGAATTCAATCACACTGGTATGGTCTCAACGATGCTGAACCAAAATTGCCCTTAAATATGTACGATATATATGATATGTCACAGTGACAAACTTTGATATTAAGCAGGACCAGGTTTTTTCCAGAACATTGTTCTACATATTTGTTCCACAAGAAAGCATTTTTTTTTCACATTTAATTTTCGCATTGTTGTGTCACTCGTGAGAACAGGGCAATTAAGTGCATGTGGATTTTAAGTGTTTTACACTTTGTAGTAATATGCATATTTTTAAAGTTTTGTTTAATATCCTAACTGAATGCACTTACTGTTGTGCAGCAGATCTGAACTTGGTTGACACCTCATAAATGTGCATCTTCTGAATGAGTGCACTCATTGCAACCATGGTGCGAAAATCCTGCAATATATGGAACATATAATGTATATGTAATATTAAACAAGACATTAACATGCAAAATCTCACCACCTACCATTTGTTACAGACCCCAAATGCCAAACAACAACCACTGAAAGTATACTGTTAACCAATGAGCTTGTATAATCTTATATGTGCATGTATTCAAATATGAGCAAAAAATCATGATGAAATATATTGGATTGCCCCTTTATTTATTTTACACATATATTGCCTGCTTTGATAACATGATGAAATATATTGAATTGCCCCTTTATTTATTTTACACATATATTACCTGCTTTGATAACATGATGAAATATATTGAATTGCCCCTTTATGTATTACCACATATTACCTGCTTGGATAACATGATCTCTAGTAGTCTCTGATAGCCACTAACACCCGTCATATGAGCCTGGTCACGTTCTAAAAATGCTCTCAGTCCCTCATGGAAGTGTGTCGTCTGGTCCAGAGAGCGTATTATGTGAAGCTTCACAGAGACTGACATATATTGACTCTGGTAGAGGTCTATAAGTTTGTGCTGTACACCTTTGTTCTGTAAGTAGATATTCAGATAGTGAATATGGGTTTTATTCTGAGGGACAATATGATATTCACTGCGAGAGCTGGTAGAGGTTTATAAGCTTATGCAGCACATCTTTGCCCAGCAAGAAATTATTCAGAGATAGTTCAGGTATTTTTAAAAACTAATCATTTCATTTAGACTGGAAAAAAACAGATTGATAACTACTTTATCATTCTAGAGATCTAAATCCAATACAATACTTTACATACATGTAAGCATCTAGGGTTACATACAACATGAATATTTGACTTGCTAATAATGCTTAGAGCACCTTTATTGTATTCTTTGTGCAATCAACAAACGATAAATTTTTAAAACACCTGCCTTACCAATAATCTCAGAGCAACAGATGTGTCACACACAGCCAGAGCACCCGTCAGATTAACTCCCATTTTTAAGTGGCGGACTTTGAATGGTGTACTTGGCTGTAACATGGCCTTTTCTAGGTCAAGGCCCTCTAAGGCCCAGTCTACTAAGGTGTCAACTGCTTCTGGATGTGATGTCACGATGTGAGGAAGACCTTGTGGTATTAACACAGCAAACTCTTCTAATGTCTCTACCCAACTATAATACAAAAAAACAAAAGTATTTACAAGGCATTAACATGCAAAATGTCACCACCTGCCATTTGTTTTAGAAACTGAACGCTGACCCCCAAAAACCAACCACCGAACACCATCCACAAGAGTTTCAGTTTGAAGTTTTTTCTGTTCAGTTTTTACAGAATGTTTATTCAGGAAAATATTAGAAAAACATTTACTATTTGTATTTCTTTTCCTTAATTATCATTTTTGACTGATTAACTAACCTATCATGATGTTCCTCAGTCTTGAAACGCTCAATGACATCTAATATTTTCTGTGCAGGTTCAGGAAGAAGTTTGTTTTCTATCACCTGGGTTAGTTCAGTCTCATAGGTGGTCAAAGAGGGATCAGAAAATGTCTGAAATTAGTAAAAAAAATATAAAATAAATGATTCGTCAATGTATTTGTATTGTGTATATTTAATACTACATCTAAATGAGAGAAATCTTTTATGTACATATTAGTATAAGCTTAAATAAATCATTTGATTTGAAGATTTTTTTAATGACTTACAGAGAATGTTCTGAAACTCATTGATCCCTCCAATCTGAATTCAATTTATTTGTCGTGTTCTTACTTTCTCAAAAGACATTGTAAAGTGGTAGGGAATGTATGAGGATAATAGTTGAATCTCAAACTAGTGTGATTGTATGCGGAGAATAACTGCTGTTACTGGTACAACCTCAAACTGTACATGGAAAATACTTACTGTGAGTGGCACAACCTCAAACTGGTATGGGTTGTATGTGGAGAATGCAGTGCCATATGTCCCATCATCAACATCAAAATCTATCTACAGACAGAATTACATACATTATACATATTTGAACATTGTTTTTCAAAATAGATTGTTTAAATGCTGAAAATATCTAATAATTTAAGTAAAGAACTAATCAATATTTGTGCATGTCACTAGTGTTTTTTCACAATGCATATGTAGTCAACAGACAGTTTAAACTAATAAAATACTTTTACACTTATGATAACTATAACGCTTACTTGCTCATTTCCCTCTGGGCCCATGTCTTGACCAAACATATCTTCATCAGAAGATATCTCTTCATAACCATCCTGGAAATATAGATGTATATGTACAAAAGTAAACAAGGCATTATAAAATGCAACACCACCAAACATCGTCAACAATAAACTGGAGACTACAACAATATGTCAACATTTGTGGTGGTGACATAGAAATTGAAACAAGAAAATGCAGCAAAACTCCTCGAGTCGAGGTCTCCCAAGTCAAAAAAAATGCCCAACGCTCTTATCTGTTGATTATTCTGTTTATAACTGATTCAAGAGCGTTGCACTGAACGAACCCATATGCCAATTTGTTATTTGTTTAGTTGTTGGTTGGGTAACATGTTTATGACGTCACAAATGATGCGAAGAATCTTTAAACCAATCAGTGAAGTCTATGTTAATTGTTTGTTTAGTTGTTGATGCGGCAATACGTGTCTGACGTCACAGATGACTGCATCATATTCCAGTCACGCCATTTTACGACATTGCATAATTTTAGCTGATTTTGGCTTCATTTCACTTTATTTGAAAGACTTTTAAAAATATAATAATGAGTCAGTATTTTTTCTAATAAATATTAATATTTGAATTTGAGGTCAAAGTTCGAAAATTTGATCAACTGATTGAAATCACATTTTAAAGAGGTGAAGAAGTGAATTATTACAGGAGCAAACGTGATCAATGGTTCGAGGTCTCCCGCAAAGTAGTCGCTACGCTCCTACTTCGCGCTGCCTTCGGCAGAGGAGACCTCGAAAAAATCAGGCCAGATTTAAACAGTGGTTTTATTTTGAGATTTTCTTATGTGTATATGTAACATTGTATTTGAAAACAGACATAAAATGCCAAAAGACAATTTACCATATAATTATGTACTGTGTAATGATGAGAAATATTGTAATGAAATAAATAGTGTCTAAAACAAAACAAAAAAACAAATGGTTCCATATCAATATATTCTAAAGCTACCTGGTCATCTATTTCTCCATCAGAAAGGTTGTACATCATATCTGGCCCAGGTGGTTCACCAAACATCATATCATCTCCCATTGGAGGCATGGGGGCTGGAAACAAATGGACAATGCTTTAAAATGATATATTTATTTTTCTGAGGAATGATTTTCATTAACCTACAGATATATTCTTATTCATAAATCTTTATCTGTATATCTAATAAAGCAAAATGCATGGTATAAGATGCCGATATGTGCAATTCATAAGGAGTTAAAAATAAACAAAAATATTGATCTGAAGAGCATGCAAGACACCTACAATTTAAAACCTTTTACTTTCTTGAATAAATATCACATGCAAACAAACCAAATGTAATTCATATATTGACGGTTGTACTTGATTATGTCTAGTCACTTACGTGGTAGGTTGGACATGCCCTGCATATGGTCATAGTGTGTAGGTATAGGGAATGATTCTATTCTGGGAGGTGTTCTTGGCCTTTGACCCATCATCATTGGTGGCGACCGCGGTCTCATCATGTTTGGGGATCGAGGCCTTGGGGGTCCTGGCGACCTTGACCTTGGACGTCCAGGTGACCTAATCCTTTGAGGTCCAGGAGATCGACCTCTAGGTCCTGGCGACCACTGTCTTGGCATCACTGGTGATCTGGATCTTGGAGGCGCTTGTGGTATTGGTCTTGGGGGTCCAGGTGACCTTGGTCTTAAGAGTCCAGGTGACCTTGACCTTGGTGGTCCTGGTGATCTTGACCTGGGTGGACCAGGAGATCTTGACTTTTGAGATCCTGGTGATCTTGATCTAAGAGGTCCTGGAGATCTTGATCTTGAGAGACCAGGTGATCTAGACCTTGGTGGTCCAGGTGACCTTGTTCTGAGGGGTCCAGGTGACCTTGACCTTGGCAGTCCCGGAGATCTCTGTCTCATTTGACCAGGCGATCTCGACCTATGAGAACCTGGGGATCTTGATCTTTGACGACCTGGTGACCTTGGCCTGCTAGCTCCTGGGGATCTTGACCTGTATGATCCTGGAGATCTTGACCTATATGATCCTGGTGACCTTGACCTTGGACGACCTGGTGATCTTGACCTTGGACGACCTGGTGACCACATCCTCTGTTGCCCTGGAGACCATGATCTTGGAGCTCCAGACCTTGGTGACCAGGATCTTCCTGAAGGTGACCTTCTAGGTGATCGTGATCTTAATGAGGGAGACCTTGATTTTGGTGGTGAGCCAGGTCGCCTAGGTGATCTTGAACTTGGTGGGGAGCCTGGTCTTCTTGGGGACCGTGATCTTCTACTAGGAGATCTTGATCTTCTTGGAGATCTGGACCGTCCTTCAGGTGTCCTGGATCTTCTCCTTGGAGACCTAGATCTCCTAGCTGGAGACCTGGATCTTCTACCTGGGGATCTGGACCTTCGAATGGGAGATCTTCGATTAGGTGATCTTGATCTCCTTCCAGGTGACCTTGACCTTCTTCCTGGTGATCTAGACCTTCCACTTGGTGTTCTTGACCTTCTACCAGGTGACCTTGACCTTCCACCTGGTGATCTTGACCTTCTTCCAGGTGTATGCGACCTTCTAGCTGGTGACCTTGACCTTCTCCCTGGTGATCTAGATCTTGCTACTGGAGACCTCAACTTACCACCTGGTGACCTTGACCTTCTTCCTGGAGATCTAGACCTTCTTCCAGGTGACCTAGACCTTCTTCCAGGTGACCTTGACCTTCTTCCAGGTGATCTTGATCTTCTTCCAGGTGATCTTGATCTTCTTCCAGGTGATCTAGACCTTCTTCCAGGTGACCTTGACCTTCTACCAGGAGATCTTGACCGTCTACCCGGTGACCTCAAACTGCTAGGAGAGTCATGTCTTCTTGATGGTGACATTGACCTTTGTGGGGAAGCTGGTCTACGTCCTGGTGACCTTGACCTTGTTTGTCGTCTACCTCTTGAGTCATAATCTCTCTTGTCATAACTATCATTGTAGGATCTATCTCTGGATGGTCTTTCATCCCTGTAGTCTCTGAAATCTCTTGGGGAGCCCTCCCGTGATTGATCCCTGCTACCTCGGTGATGGTAACCATAACGATCATCATAAATCTCACCCTGAGGTTGGGGAGGTGCCTGTTGGGCAAGGAGAGCACTACGGTCATCTACATCTCGATAGCCATCTTGTGGAACACCTAGGTGCTGCGTTGGAGCCATATGTTGTCCAGGTGGAGCCTGAGGGGGTACTCCCATGTGGCCACTTGGTGGGGGGTACGCTGGTGGCAGGAATCCCCCTTGAGTATTATCCCATTCCATTGGGATTCTATCAAGCGGGATCATTCCTGGGGGATGACCTCCTGGGATGTGACTGCCTGGGGGGTGCCCAGCGTGTGTGTTCTCTGGCAACATTTGTGTTCTATTTGCTTCTGGATGCAATCTTCCAACATGGGGGTCATGGCCATGTGGTGGTTGAAGGCCCCTTTCTGGTATTGCCCCTGGGTGGGGCTCTGGGACCATTGTGTTGGGGGCAGGGACTGGTGATATTTGGGCTTGAGGGGAAGGCTGGTGGGGTGCCACGTGGGAGGCCCCTGGGTACTCATTGCTTCTTTTATCTACAATCAAAACATCAAATTTGGAATCTCAAAAAAACACTTGATTTTTAAGCATAATTCAAAAAGTGGAAAAACAGCTCCTGCTCACAACTTTTAACATCAAAATTTTTCAAAAACTGACAAGTCTAAGAAAATGGCCTTTACAGATCAATTAGATACAATGGACAGTATTTTATATGAATACTCATAAGACCCAATATGATATGTTAGTTTTAATTTGTACCACAAATGTTGATGGACTGCTGGACAGACCAACAGACAAATGGACACGAAGGGAGACACAAGAAAAAGAAAATATGGCACTGAACAGAATCGACTTGAAGTAAAAGACAGAATTTGTAATGAGGGGGAATTGGAGGGTGGAAAGCATTTTTCCTTTTAAGTGATTGTTACAAAGATTGCTGATATGAAGTTTTAGTGACACATTTGAAAATATGTGGGATGAAGAAAAGTTTTTAATGATTTTGGATGATTATGAAATTGTAAATGAATTGATACATTTTATAAATAAACTTTTTATCAACTTTGGGAAAAAAGGAATAAACTGGTTTGTAAGAAAATCACATTTAAATATTTGTTGCATTTTACTGTATAACTATGTCTTGTTATTGATTCTGTGAGGAAGCCAATTGTTTTGGCTTGAAACACAATAAAATCTTGAACTTGGCTACCTGATTTTTTTACTTGTACACAATACACATTTCATTATTTTATCAAATGTTATTTCCTATCTTGAACTGAGATTGAACATTTCAAAGAAACTTCTGATTTTTTGCAAAAAAAGTTTTTCATGAGAGATTTTCAGAAGACAATGAGGTATCACTAAACTGACAATTATCATAAAGGCTTTACCTGCGTGTCTGGGCTGCGATGGAGCTGGAGGAGGTGGGGGAGGGGGTGAGGCATGATCTTGACTGACAGTTGTCAATGATCCATATACAGCTAGAGTCACTGTGCTATACCAGCCCTTAAGAATCAGTCCATCTGTAGGGATATCTGCACTTGGCTTAAAGATTATATCTTTCTTGTCTGAGTATTCGAGTCTGAAAAAGAATGTATGAGTGGTAATTCCATAAACCTGCCATTTATACAGACACAGACTGCCAATCGCTGAACATTGTTGCAAACAATGAATGCAAAATAACAACTGCCAGTGCCAAAACCATTTACAAAGTTATGTAACAAATGTAAACACTTATGGTGTTGGCATAACAACACTTTATAGGCATATTTGAATTCTGCATTGTGAGGTTTAATTCTTTCATTATGCTACGCTGAATTTTATTACTGTAAATTTGTTCTGTACGTAGATCAATATTGTGTCTGTGTATTGTTAATACAAGTATTGCCGCTGACCTATGAATTGCAATTCATCACTGCTTCTTACTTTATATTCTCTGCTGGTTAATAGTGAATGATTTTGTTTGCCCAAAATAACTTCTCTTATTTTCTCCAGTAGTCACCTACCTTCTTAATCTTGGCAGATTTGTTTTTATTTTTAAATTTTATTCCTAATAGAAATTTTATTCCTTATCGGGGTTTTCACCAGGAAATTTTTAGACCCTGGATTTTTCACGGTATCGCAACTACTCCTCTCCCATGTGAGATCAGAGATATCCAATTAGTGTACATGTACTTTTAAAAATACTTTTTAAGATTATCTTCCTACTTTAATCACAATATACATTTCTAGAAGGTTTCTTACTTCAAATTCCTTGTTTGTATCCAGTTTTATGTACTTTCTCAAGAATTTTACCACAAATTATGTGACAAAAATGTTAAATTAGACTGCGGAAAAAACACTTTAGACTCCAGAAAAGCTTTTAGACTCTGGAAGCCTCTGGCTTCTTGAAATTTTCTGAGAAGAGTATTTCCAAAATGCAGCCTAAAGTTCCAGACACATATGGCTTTATAGAAATCCTAATCCTATTTTATTCCAAGATTATTGAGGTTCCTTTATATTTCTTATGCAATATGCGTCTGGATACAGTTTTACATATAAGTCCTGACTCTATTATTTCATACTGTTCTTTGTTTGATTACATTCTCCTGTTCAATGGTACAGCTGGATTATAAATAATGTTATAATCACTGCTATCCTTAACCCTAGTTATGCATTAGATACTCTGTTTGTTTAATTGTATTGTTTCGTATATTTTCTAAAGTACCTTATTAACAACTAACAGTCATCCGATTAACCATTAATAAGGAAAAGACAAATAAAAACAAATAATAAAAATAA